TTTAAGGAGAGGAGAGGGGCTTCTCAGGAGGTGTTTTGCCCAGGATGAAGTGTCTGGAAAAGGCATGGAGGAGATGGGACCAGAGACACAAGCCTGTGAAGCCCTCATGTCATCTGTGGGGAGAATGGAAATCCCAGCTGGTCTTTGGTGCAGCACATGGTGCAACTGCTTAAGGAAGGTCAGAAAAGCCAGCCTGCTAACCTTTCCTAGGTGAATGATGGAAATCCCATCTTGGGAGCATCATGGGACCATGGAGAAACCCCTGGGAGGAAAACAACAGATGACTCCAATAACAGCCCTGATCTGCAGGGACATCCAGACCCACTGGTCCAAGAAACCACCAGCTAACTGCAGGTGCAGAGTTCAGGCAAAAGCAGAAGAGAAAGGAAGGCAGGTGCTCCAGAATCCAGGGGGGCAGCGGGACACAGCAAGGACAGGAGGCAACTCCAGACCCTGGGCCAGACCGTGCTGAAGATGCTGCATGTGCTGGAGCTCATGAGATGTCATGCGGAAGGTGGGGGCTCAGAAGGAGGGGAAACAGGAAGGCAGAGAATGGCAATGGCCCTGTCCACCTGTCAGCAGTCCCTCAGAAGGGCACCACTGACCATGGCGACTGCAATGTGCCCTTGGCCAGTCCCAACACAGAGAAAGAAGAGCTGTGCAGGGAACTGTGGAGGAAAATCAGAGGACTGCTCACAGGACAAATAATGCACCTCCAGGCTGAGGAAGTGTCTTTGCCCATTGAAAATGCCCAGCTGGAAAGTGAGATTCAGAAGCTCCAGCTGAAGCTCCAAATACAGCCTGAGATTTGTGGAGAGCATGTCCTATAACTAGAGAGAAAGTGGGCTGAGGAGGAAACACACCATGTGGAAATGGAGAAGCAGCTCCCCAAGGCATGCAGGAGCAGAATGCCATCCATCACACCTGCAACCTCTACAGGAAGATGGCCGAGGACCTGGGTAGAGAATTGCAGAGAACCACCTCCTCTCACAAGGAGGAGGTCCTTCTGTGTGAGGAAGTAAGTCAGAAGAGCCAGAGGGCCACTCTGTCGGCAGAGAGCTCCAGGAGCTGAGGAGAGAAAGCCACGGCCTTAGGCAGAGGCCCCATCGGACCAAAGGTCCAGGCTGTCCCTCATGCAACTGCTGCTCCTCCTGCAGCCCTCAAGGGCCAGGGGCTCCCCTGCGTCCCCAGGTGCTCCAGGAGAAGCACGGGTGCACTGGCTAGGCTCCGGGGCTTGGGGTCACCTGCAGGTTTGACTCAGCTTCCCAGTAGCCAGGCCCTGGACGCCCACACCCAGGGCACAATCGCTCCGGTGCTTCACCCCCAAGCCATGACCATTGCTTTTTAAGTTTAGGTCAACCCTGTTATTTAGTTGATGCTACATAGTTCTCAGTGACGTTCCCTCTAGCAGATGAGTGTGAGATGGTATTTTTCAGTAAGTGTTTATTAAACATAAAATAAAATAAAATACAGATATGAGAACTAAAAGTGTCTCAGTGAGACTAATAAATAACTGGATAGATGGGATAATCCAGTAGAATACATTGTCATGGAAGTCAAATATTTTTCCAGGAGGAAGTGGTCAGCAATACCAGGCACTGACAAATCAAACCGTTTTCTTGGATTTAGAAACAAAGAACTTGGTAAAAATTGATGAGACTTATGATTAAAACGTGAGGCAGGATTCAGAGGGCATTGAGATGAGGAGAAAATAAGAGGTATATTTGTTAAGATATAAACAACTCTGAATCTGGCTTTTAAGGGCGCTAGTTGAAGAGGACTGTCAGGTTCTGGGAGTGAGAAGAGTGTGTGTGTGTGTTAAGAATGAAAGACTTAAACACATTTAAGTGTACTTATACTTTTTGAAGGACTACTTAACTATGCAATGTAGATGGGAAAAAGATGAGAGCATGATGATGTCTAGATTAGGTACATGGTATTTTAATTTCTAGGATGATTCTCTAGTGGCACTCTTGAGTCACAGAGGAAAATTTTAACTCTTGTTCCACAGTTTCTCAAGTGATATTAATGTCAAATCTTGCACACCAGAACTTCTAGCTTTATCTCAGATTTTCTCTCATTTAACTAGTTATAAGTAGTTTTATTTAAAATATTTAAAAAGATCCAAACTTTATGGCAATTTTTCTTTATTGATTTAACATTGGCTCAAGTGAAGTTTTAGTGGAGCTCAGTTTATTTATATCTGAAATTAAACTAAAAACATTGCTGCAGTCACTGTTTGTGAGATTGGAATCTCAAAATTAATTTTAAATGGATGCATCTTTTGTTATGTACATAGTTAAACTTTCCTTTGTGTTTACACACATTATTCTTTGAACAGAATCCTTTAAAATGTTTTTCACAATCTTCTTTAACTACTGAGCCCGAATTACAATCATTGGTATTTTAGTCAGTAATTGAGTATTTCCAAAACTTTTAAAGATTTATATGCTAATGGAATTTCTTCTATTAATGGATGTATATGGACAATGTGTACATACTTTTAGAAGTCCATTATCTTCATTATTCAAGTTCAAGTAAGAAATATTAATTCAAGATGGTCCTGATTAAACTTCCAGGAATAAAGTGATAAAAAAATCCTAATATTTCTGAGAACTTGTGCCATAATACCCCCCCAAAAAGGAAATTTTGAAGGACATTTTTATGTTAGTGGAAATGAATTGTGACAAAAACATACTCATTGAATGTATTAAAATTGAATGTATTAAAATGGGCTTGCTTCTGACAAGATAGACAGCAGTACTAAGAACTGATAATTATTACAGATTTACTAATAGAAATACATATTTTTCCAAGGCTCACCAGCTGATGTTCGAGGCATTCAATTTTTCAGACTAATTTGGGAATATTTTCCTGAGTTTTGATGGTTTTACAGACAGTTTGTTATTCATCTTGATATCTTCTGCACTGAAAACATCTTGTTATCCTAAAGTGTCTCTTTACTCATGAATGGAGATCATCAAGAAAGATAAACTATTTCAACAAGTCATTTTGAAGAACTAATTATTGTTTTGTTATACCGCTAATGCTCAAAGTGATCATATGACGCTTAGGCTATCTTGGTTCTGATAAACTTGAAAACAAACCAAAAGAATTTAGTGGGAATAATGACACTCTCTTATGTTGCTTGAGGGAGTATATTGAACAGGGTGACCTGCTGTGCTCTTCAAACCAAGAGGGGAGATTATTCTTAACAGGGCACGAAACCAGATACTGATCTGTGTTCAGTTTAGCATTTCTGAAAGTCTAAAAACATCTTGAAATATATAGTTTAGTATGTGGTTTATATTTCATGAAGTCTATATTCTAAGGACAAATATGATTCATTACTTGGGAATTAAAGTCAAATTTTCACCTCAATAGGCTAAAGGTAGTTTAGCACATAAATACCTCTTCTGAAGGAACTTACACAATGCACCTGGTGTAATGGAATATTTGGATTTGAGGTTAGACTCCTGAACTTTTCCTTATGTGGATGGAGGCTGAAGGAGAGAAATACACATCTTTTTTTACCCTGCTGTCCAGTAGTTGTTTTCATCTGAGGTGTGGTTGCCTTCCAGCCACAGGTGGTCTGACCCAGTGGCCATGCCTCCCTATAAGTCATCAAACCAAGGCTACTGAAGGGAAAGCTTCACCCTCCCTCCCTCCCCGTCATGTCTTATCAAGAGTACTACTGGGTTCTTTGTCTTATACTTTCAGGCCTTTTGGAGGACACTAAATAGCCATGCTCTCAAGAAATTAGATGTCTAATTTCCATACAAGGACTAGGTCTGATATGGGGAGTAAGAGTCAGTCACTTTACCTGCTGTTGGGAAGGTATTTTATACAAAGTCTGCTGGATTATAATTTCCCGCTGCTGTTTGGAATGGAGGATCTGAGCTTTATGTCTTTGTATACCAGTTTCCATGTGTCCCTGGATTTTCCTGGAGTATTGTGGAAAGACACATTAAAGAAAATTTACCGCTCTTTACAACTCTTCTATGTGCATAAAAGTGACTAATTAATCCCATTTGGTGTTGGTGGGCCCAAGACAATGAGTGTACCAACAAGTCATCCAGTCAGGCATCAGCAGTAATAAAGGAACCAGAAATGTGTTCTTGTAATTTAAAGCCAAACCTGACTTCAGTTTAAAGACAGCTCCTGATCTAATTGTGGCCTTGCTTATGGTAGTTAATTTTATGTATCAACTTGACTGGGCCATGATGCCCAGATATTAGGTCAAACATTATTCTGAATGTTTCTGTGAAGGTGCTTTTATGGATGAGATTACCATTTAAATCTGTGGACTTTGAGTAAATCACTCTCCATAGATGGATGAGTTTTATCCAATCAGCTGAAGGCCTTACTAGAATAAAGATTGACCTTCCAGGGCAAGAAGGAATTCTGGCAGCAGACTGCCTGTAGACTCAATTTGCAGTTCTTCCCTTCGTCTTCAGTCTGTTGGCCTCCTCCATCAGATTTTGGGTTTGCCAAGCCTCCACAATCAGGTGGACCAATTCCTTAAAATAAATCTCTCTATATACATACATCCTGTTGCTTCTGTTTCTCTGAACAACCCTGGCCCATTATGTAATCATACCATTACCATAATGCCTGGCACATGAGAAGAACCCAAAATTATTGAATGAACTGATTAATGAATAAAAATATATACCTGGGAATTTTATTTGAAAAAAAATAGCTCAATATTGAATCTTGAGGTGATAAAGAATGGTTCTTGACACCTTTGAATCCAAAAATTGAAACTAAGGTGCAACCTTCCTTGCACATTGTTAAACTTGGCTTCAAAAAGATGTACTAGTTTAGGGAATAAAAGACCTGCATTCTAGTCTTGGCATTGCTTATCATTAACTATGTGACCCTTGATTTCTCTAGGTCTCCAGTTGTTTCTTCAACTGTAAAATGACAGTTGTGAGTGAGTTGATTTTTCAAGTCCCTTCGGTTGTAAAATGTCTTAATTCTGTAATTTCCTCTTACAGACCCTGCTACCGTGGTTATTCTGAATGTATCACTAAATCCCATGGACTCCACTAACCAGCTGCCAATGCAGTGATATCGTAGGGCACATCAAGTCCTAAGAATTACGGTGTTAAGGAAGAAATAAGAGTGCTGTCATTGAAGGCTACGGTGTTTCCTCTCCCCAGTAGGCACTGCAGAGAAAACTTGGAGACAGCAGAAGTTTACTGCATTTACAACTGACAGATGAATGTTAAAATCCCTCTCACATTTTTCTTTGAGAGTAAAGGAAAGAAGGCCACATCACTAAATTGTATCATGAATAAAAGTTCTCTCAGTTACATTCATTGCCTTGCCTGCACAGGAACTTGGTTATTTGCCAGCAACTTAATGTCTGGAGAAAGCTATAGGTCATTTTGCAACCCAGCATTTAATAGTATTGTCTAACAAATCTGATTTAATCTTTTCATTTTGTTGCCAATTTGAGAGTACAACACCAGCTCTAAACAATAAAATTTTAATGACCTGAACAATATTTTATGTTTAATCTCCAAACATATTTCTTTTATAGAAAATTCTGTGAATTTTCTGTCATATACATTGAATGGAGACATTCATCTGAGCTGAAAAAGGAAAGATCGTTGCAATTGTGAATCTTGTCAAAGGACAAATGAAAATGTGTTCATTTTGGAGAAGGCGTAAGCTACAAAGTGCCTGCTTTTATTAAAAATCACGGGAAAAAATTAAATATCAGCAAGATCAACATTAATTGGAATCTCAGGGGTTTTTTTTCCCCTAAAATAAAGTTGCTTTTTTGTTGTTGAAAACTCAATACTTGATATCAGAAAATATAGACAAAAGAACATTTCAAATAATGAGAATCCCACTCACCCAATAACAGCTATGCTTAATGCATTGTTGTTTATTTTTTCATAAGGTTTTTTTAAACACAACTTTCCCCCTTCCCAACTCACAAACATAAATCTGCACATAAACCAGATGTCTTCAAGACTGGCTAGTCTGGGGGTGCCTGGGTGGCTCAGTCATTAAGCATCTGCCTTTGGCTCAGGTCATGGTCCCAGGGTCTTGGGATCGAGCCCTGCGTCGGGCTCCCTGCTCTGCAGGAATCCTGCTTCTCCCTCTCCCACTCCCCCTGCTTGTGTTCCCTCTCTTGCTGTGTCTCTCTCTGTCAAATAAATAAAATCTTTAAAAAGAAAAAAAAAAAAAAGACTAGTCTGTGACATCAAACTGAGACCATGTCTCCTCTAATATTAAAATTATGAACTTCCAATCCTCCATATGACCATAGTTATAGAACCCTTGTCTTTCCTTGTTTTATGGGATTGGCCAAGAATTCCAACGTTTTTGACTCAAGCTGGAGGAATCCTCATGCATCTCACCTTGATGCAGAACCTGGCCAGCCCTTGGCATGCCCCATTTGCCTCCCTGTACCTACTTCACACAACATTTCCTTGGTTTGCACGAGAAGGAGGCACCTTCCCTGGGTGTTAAGTTCAGTTATGGATATGCCTCTCCTAACCTGGTAAGCCCCAGAGGGTTATTATTTTTTTTTTTCTTCTCAAGGTACACTTCTAGGTACTCAAGTGACTGGATTAGGCGTTAGCTTTACACCGTTGGCAAAACCAAGTCTCTTCTGATGGCATAGGTCAAGTGTTGAGAGAAGACCCTAAGTCCAGACCTGCTGACTGTAGCTTCCTAGGTTTTTTTTTTTCTGGATTCCAGTTCTTTCTTCCATTCAGGTCTCAGCCAGGGCGCCCCCCGCTTCAAAAGAGCAGATATTTGAATCACAAAATGAACTGAATTTTGACATAGATCCTTTTTCTTCTAGAAATTATCTTGACTCCTATGTAAATTTGTGGATATCATTGAATACCTGGGGGAAGGGGCTCATCTGCCTCACCTATCAAGAGCATCTAAGAGATGGGCCTTGCCTTGCCAAATATACCTAATTATCATTTTTTTCCTCTGAACATTAGCTAGGTACCAGTCTTGCAGGAACGTTAGGTAGCATAAGGGTTACATAAACAACCACTGGATCCAGATAGCTCACATATAAAGCTCTGCTCTATCATTTGCTGGCTGATGACCTTGTGCAATTTACCCAACAGCTGTCCCCATCAATAAAACAGGGCTGATGACAATTGTACCTTTCTCATACGTAGTTATGGGGACTAAATGTATGAATACTGTTTAACATTGCTCCTGGTTCATAGTGAGGGCTCAATTAATGTTAGCCATTACTACTTCAGTGATTCTAATAATTAAAAGGGCTTCCAAAAGTTGTTCCATCCAGAACAATCAAAAGAGAAGTATCATTACTGAAGCTAAAAATTGATAGTCAATTTTAAATATCACTTTTCCATTATATAAAAAAATAAAGTCTTAATCCATTGGTGCCCTGTTTTGCACCAATTAAATGTTGTTTTAAGCCCATACATTTTTGTAGTTTTTCTTTAACTCCCCACAATATATTGTGAAACTCTTCTCCTTGTCAAAAGCTATACTTCTATAATATTTTTAAATTTATTATCCTATTTATAGAACTATATTTTATCAGTCACTTCTTGTTTTCTTGTTTCCAGTATTATAAATGTTAATGAAAGATGGTCTCATGAGTAGGTGGTCACATGGCTTCTTAATTATTTTCTTGAGAATACCAGAAATACCAGAAAAGAAATTTTAAAGCTTTTAAAATATACTGCTAAATTGCCTCCGGACACACTTACTAGTTTATACCAGAGTCAGTGGCCCTGCCCCTTCACCAAGAGAGAGCACTTAAAAACTAAATGTTTAATAATTTGATAGAAAAAGCATGTTGCCATATGTGTATTTCTTTACTAATAGGTTGAGTGGTTTTTGTAATAGACTTTTTTTAAAGATTTATTTTAGAGAGAGAGGGAGAGCATGGCAGGGGGCAAAGAGGAAGGGATAGGGAGACGGAAAGGGAGAGACCCTCCAAGAATCTCTGCTGAGTGCAGAGCCTTAGGTGGGGCTCGATCCCATGACTCTGAAAGCATGACTTGAGCTGAAACCAAGAGTCAGACACCCAACCAACTGAGCTACCCAGGCCCCCCTAGTCTTTATTTTTTAGAACAGTTTTAGGTTCATGGTGAAATTGAGAGGAAGAAATTTCCCAGATGTCCCAGCCCCCACATACACATAATGTCTCTCACTATCAACATCCCCCACTAGAGTGGGTATATTTGTCCCAAATGATGAACATACACTGACACATCATTGTCACCCAGAGTCCATAGTTTATATTAGAGTAGTGAACTCTACTTGGTGTCACGGTAGGTTTTTAATCTATTCTTTCTGAGTTAGTATGTTCCGAGCCTATTTTTCCTTTTTTAAAAAGGTTTTTTTAATTTATTCATTAGAGAGAGAGAGAGCACGAGCAGCGGGGAGGGTCAGAGGGAGAGGGAGAAGCAGACTCTGCCCTGAGCAGGGAGCCCAAAGCAGGGCTCAATCTCAGGACCCTGGGATCATGACCTGAGCCCAAGGCAGATGCTTAACCAACTGAGCCACCCAGGCGCCCCTTTCCTTCCATTGCTTTAAAAGAGCTTTTTATATAGCTTTGCGCAGTGGCAGTATCGTAGCCAATGAGGTTTATCCGAGGCACGATTATTGCTAATTGAAAAGAGCTTTTTATATATATATGTAGGAGAGTCACAAGTTTCCTTAGTGCTATCAAGAAAGAAGGAAATTTATCTTATTAATTTTCTATAACTAGTCCAGTGTTTCCTATGAGCCCTCACTCTTGGGGAAGTGGATTGGTGAAAGTTGTGGAGAAGTAGAACTTAAATTTATCAACGAATGTATCTTAGGTCTAATTTAAACATTTATTCTTTAGATTAATCTTAAGTACACGCTCAGACTTTAAGGTATACTTTCCTTCTCCTTGCTCTTTCACCAAGGCGATATCTGATATGTTTGTGTATTGGCAGGGATAGGTATTTATGTGATCCCATAGAGTATGGGGGTAGTCTGACAGAGGGTACAAAGGTATTTGTGTAATCATCTGTGACGTTTATTATCTATCTAGTTATTTGGCTCTCTGATGGAATCTTCTACTGATGCTGAAGTGGGTCTCTTGCCTTGGTCAGGGTCTGGTGACCCCCTTGGCTGCCTCAGCTGGAACCTTTTCACATGCCATCTAGCTCTGGCCTAATTTCTCCACTCTTCTGCCTTGGGTTTCCAAGGGTTTTTATCTTCAGCAAGAGCCAAAGGAAGCCTGGTACTATAAACTCAGGCTCTTTTTCTTCCCAGCCACTTCAGGAGGCCATTTTTGTCTTTTTCAGACTCTCAAATTAGGAGTGGGGGACAAACCTTTCCTGCTTATGGCTTTTCTCTTTATCTTTCTAAAACCTCACTCCTGTCTGGGATTTTGGTTCAGGAGAAAAGAGTTAGAATACTTTTATCTGATTCTTTACTTCCCCTACTTTTTTCTTTTCCACACGCAGGTAGGGTAGAATTGGCAGGTTTTCTTTCTCTTCCTGTTTAGCTGGAACTTTCTTTGGAACTCCCCTCATATTCTGTTCCTGAGTTTTAATCATGGAAGAAGCCCTTTGAGCTGAATCCACTAGTTTTGGCAATTAGAAGTGGAAACCTTGAGGCAACTACAAACCAGAGCCTATACAGGGCAAAATGCATTGTTTTGATATTCCCCAGACATTATTTATTTTATAAATATATTTGTACATATAGATTCAGATGTTCAGATCAGATAGAATTGAGGTCTCTCATGTAGGTTACAAATGTTTATGCCCCATTTTTTCCTTTCCGTAAAAAAGTTATGTTTCTTATAGTAGAGAAGTTCTACAGTTTCATGTAGTCAATCTACCAATTGCATGTTTATGGTTTCTACATTTTGTAAAACTTAGAAAGCATTTTCCTCATCCAGGAAAAATTATGTTCACATTTATTTCCTTCAAATATTTTTTGGCTCAATTTTTTTCTTTTTTACTTTACCTGGAGGCATTTGGTGTAAAGTGTAGTATAGCCATATATATTAAATACATGATAGCAATCTAAATCTAAATATATACATTTATTTAAAAATACATATATGTAAATATATATATTTGTAGATACACATATCTACACATGTATATATATTTAATAATCAACTCCAGCTCATTATATTTATTGAATAGTCCTTTTTTCTTTTTTTTAACATTTTTATTTTTATTTTTTAAGATTTTATTTATTTATTTGAGAGAGAGAGAATGAGAGATAGCACAAGAGGGAAGAGGGTCAGAGGGAGAAGCAGACTCCCCGCCGAGCCGGGAGCCCGATGTGGGACTCGATCCCGGGACTCCAGGATCATGACCTGAGCCGAAGGCAGTAGCTTAACCAACTGAGCCACCCAGGCGCCCGAATAGTCCTTTTTTCTTACTAATTTGAAGTA